AGAAAAAAGTAGATTCCAGTTACACATCAGAAGGAACTACAGTGGTACCTCAGGTTACGATCTTAATCCGTTCCGTGACTCTGGTCGCACCCCGAAGCAAATTTTCCCATAAGGTTCAATGTAATTACCGTTAATCCATTCCGGCGTCCGCGGACCACACATCAGGGGCGGAAAAACGGCCGCGGACCACGCGGCAGGGGCGGAAAAACGGCCGCGGACCACGCGGCAGGGGCGGAAAAACGGCTGCGGACCATGTGGAACGGGCGGAAAATGGCCGCGGACCATGTGTCACGGCGGAAAATGGCCGCGGATCCGGTTCGTAACCTGAGGTAAATTTTTGCGGCCGGAGCTGGTCGCAACCCGAAAAGTTCATTGGCAGAGGCGTTCATAACCTGAGGTACCACTGCTTCTCTAAGTTGCAGCCGAAAACAAAAGCCCACCAATTTAAGTAGCATAAATGTTCCTTCTTGTATTTTGTTTCCAGAATGTTTTGCTGGGTTTGAACACTTGCTGAAAGAAAATTAGTCAAAATGAGCATGCAAGCTATTTAGTATAGTGGGCAGTAAAAGATGACTGTTGCTAATTGTTTTTAAGGTTATCTTTTGTGTTGCATGTTTTAGGTGTTTGCTGCAGCACAATCTGATCATGGCATAGCTATCAGCAGCGCTTTTTGAAATCTACCTTGAAATAATGTTAGTGGCTTGGCTTTTCTTCCGTTAGTGATAGGAAGACTGGCTGTGGTTTCTTATCTGATCCTCATTTTCAGAAGTCTGGTTTCTTTGTCACTAATCCATATGAATTAAGACAATTAATACAAATTCCAAGCCTTATGATTACAGAGTCTTGGCTTAAATGTGGTGGCTAGGGTGATGGACTAGAACTGGGCAGATTTCAGTTCCAATCTATCCTTAGCCATAGAAACTCACTGGGTACGGTGCCACCCCAGAGTTTTGAGTTACGCTTTCTGCTTATTAATTGATTCTCTATCAGTGTAGTAGAAGGACTGATTAGTATTACTCCTTGTGATCAAGCTTAATGCTGTGTTTAAAAAACTGAATTGTTTCCTATATCTGTGATATGTTTTATTCTTTGTGTTTTCTTCCTTTTTCTGTTTGATTTCTATATTCTGTTTTTCTTTATTTCTGCATATTAAAGGAAGTATTTTTTTTTTTAATAAAAACTTTAGGCCAGTCATTCTCCCTCAGCCTGGTTTATCTCACTGGGTGGTTTTTGTGAGGAAAATTGGAGGAGGGAATGCTACGTATACTGTTGTAAGCTCCTGGAGAAAGTAGGATATAATTCTAACAAAGCATAAATATTCACTCTATCTATCTGAAGCTAGAGAAATAATTAAGCAGCAGTGGAATGAATTGTTTGGCACCTGGTTCTTTCCAGTTGCATAATCTAGTGTTTTGTAGGAAGGAGCCTCCCATCACCTGACTGCTTTGATCTGGGTTCTGTCCCATCTCCCTTCAAATGCTGATCTTGCATATGAGGCTTGGTGGAAACCTGTGTGTTGTATGCCAAGATGAATAAGGATCTTGAATGTTTTGCTTCTGTTCTCCCCTCTTACTTACCAGCTGATGTGTGAGAAAGCCCCGTAAGCTCCAAATGCTAGAAAAGGGCTTTCCAATCCACTGGGCTACCCCTTCTCTTTGTTTTCTTGCCATGCTGCTTAAAAGAGGCAGGTTTCTTATGACACCTAGATCACTCACACATCCTCTTTTCTACCTTCCAAGTTGGCTCCCTTCATGTGCTTCATTCCACATCAGAATACTTGTTTGAAGGAAGCATTCCAGGCCTCTCTGTACTTTTCGCTTCCAAATTGCCTAGCACAAATTAAGCTTAAAAAGGAAAAACACGTTGAACACAAATTAGCATCTTCTTCCACGATTGAAATTCAGAGTGGCTGTATTCACTGTGCACTTTTTTGTTTCGTTTGTGTCCAGCATGAACTGTTTGCAATGCAGTTTCATCAAAAAGGTAGAAAGGGGACTTCCTTCTTACTTTCCAGGAATGCAAATGCAAACTAGCTTAAATTATTTTTCTTTTGATAGATAATATTCTATTTCTTACAGTTTCATCCTTGATAGTGCCACTCCTGAGTCCCACTTTTCTGTTCCTGAGGCTGCTGAGCATACTTCTTTCTTTGATGTCAACTTACCTTCTCCTTAGCACTGGGTAATTTTTTTTCCTTTTATAAAAGGTAGAGATGCCCTTGAATTGAATTTGAGCCTTGATGATTATATGCAACAGGTGGCAGCACCTTGTTTGGACCTGGAAGCTAAGGTAGTTCAGGCCTGGTTAACACCTGGATGGAAGACCCCCAAGGAATTCCAGGGCTCTCGGGTAGACTGGGAAATTGGAAGAATATCATGGAAGAAGGCAGTGGCAAACTGCTTCCATAGTGTTGGGAAAGAAACTACATGCATATGTCCATATAGTGGTTGGGATTCAAGTTGGACTCGAGAGAATCTTCACTTGTATTCTGGTATATGTGAGATTGGTTTGGGGTTTTGTGAAGGTTATGCAGTTCTGAGAATTTATTTAATATTTCCATGTTTGTGCAAATACATCATTTATCGTATAAGATAAAAAGTTCAAAGTGTGGTGCATTTTCATTTTCACACTTGAAAATAAATTGTGCTTCATATTAACGGGAATGGTGCACCATGTCTTCCAGTTATTTAAATATGCAAATGATATGAAGTATCTTTACTTGGATGTGGTAATTTTTTCTTCAGCATGGCTACTAGTTGTCTCCATGCTCCCTTAGTTATTATTTCTTATAAAATGGCATGATTGTGCGTATATAGAAATAATGCCAATACTTTGGATCCTTTCCTTTATATTCACTTGCTTTCAAAATACATTCTGATGTAGGTATGAAGCTCTTTTCCCTCTGGCGTTGGCATTGTTGATGTTTGTGTGGATAGACATGGAGCAAGAAGCAATCCAACAGTATGGCATTTCATATAAATCTAAGGTAATGATTCAGTACACACCTCAGGAAAAAATGCTACCTCCCTTTCCCTCCAGCAACAAAAATCCCAGCTGACTCATGAGTCTGGGAGTGCAGGCACAGAATCCCAACCACTTCAGTGCTCATATTTTTAAAATAGAATGTACAAACAGGAAAGGTCCAGTGGTTTCACAGACACTCATTAGCTGTGGCCAAAGAGGTGGCCAGATTTCCCAGAAGCCAGCGTACTCCACTAGTGCAAATCTGACTAGCTATAGTCAGAAAAAACATAGTCTAAGCCAGAGCTAAGTGATCTGGCAATTTTAGAATGTTTTGAAATACAACACTGACAGTCCCAGGCCATAAGCCTAGTCTTCATGGGCTTCTGGGAATCCTTTTGAAAAACATCTGAAGGCCACCTTCAGATTGCCCACCTCTGGGCAGTATTTTTGCAGTCAGGTTTCATTTTTATTTATGAACACTGATGATTGCAGGGCATTGTTGTTGGCGCAATTATATTCACCAGATTGAGGGAAGCTGGCATTTTTTGGCCCATTCTTAGGGTTTAATGGATAGAGTGAGTGCCCTAGCTCTTGCAATCACTTATGATATCTATTTGCCCCTTATTTCCTCCCCACCTCCCCCAGCGACCTATTCTGGAAGTCACAAATGAGTGCTAGAGTACCACATGCAGGTCTCTGTTTCCTTTCTTTAGTCTCATAGTATGATAGAAATCAAAGCATTCCTCTCACCTCTCAAGTCCTTCCATGTGATGTGGCTACTGAGTAAGCAAATGCAAGCTTAAGCTACATTGATGGAACTGTACCATCCAAGTCACAAAAGGTGATATTATTGATGAACCAGTATGTGTCTATGTGGTTGATATTTAATTATAAGCTTAAGGATTGAATTAATTTTATATTGTTACTAAATGGACATTATATGGATCTTTTTTACCAGTTTGTTTTCCTTTTTTTAATTTATTTTGATTACTGTAATTTTATAGTAATATAAGGGCTTTAGTTGGTTTGTGTGCTATGGAGATGCCATGTGGTTGTAATGATGTATGGCAGTGTTATCGTTTTCATAGCTTGTGTTGGTTGTGTTGTAGTAGGTTGAGTGGTCAGGCACTTTTTGATAAAATTGCGTGGATATCCATTTTGTTGGAAGATGTTGTATAGGTGGTCTGGTATAGTAATTATAGGATTACTATAATTTTTTTCTTTCTCTATAACATATATATTAAACACTTGATCACATATGTCATACACATTTTTCTGTTGGTGAAGTTGTCTATATTTCACTATTAAAAAAATAAATTGAAACATAAGAAAATAAGAGGTTATTTTAGTATGCTGCTATGCATAAATCCCATCTGGGGTACTCTGCTGAGTGCTGCACATCACATTTTAAGAAGGACATCAATAGATCTGGAGACATTCAAAAGAGAGAAACCAAGACTTTGAGGGGTTTAAAAGTCCAAGGAATGGTTGGAAATGCTGGATATGTTTAGAAGAGAAACTATGATAGACGACTTCAAATATCTAGAGAGACATCATATCGAAGATTGAACAGGCTTTTTTGTGTGTGTGTGACTGGGTTGTATAGGACTAGAATAGTGAACTAGTCTGCCTTGGGAGGTGATATCCTCTTTGACTGAAGTTATTAAAGCAGAGGGGAGACAGCCATGTATTAGCACACTGTACATTGCACTCGACATTGAAGAACAACAGAAGAAGGAAACAGACCACCTATAGAACATATTCCAGCAAAATGGATATCCATGCAACTTTATCAGAAATTGCCTGACCACTCAACCTACTACAACACAACCAGCACAAGCTATGAAAATGATAACACTGCCATACATCATTACAACCACATGGCATCTCCACAGCGCACAAACCAACTAAAGCCCTCCATAACATCTTAAGCAAATTCAAAAATGTGAGGGAATTCCTGGAAGCTTGGTATTCAGACAAGGCAGCCATTGACAGGAACATAGAGATAAACAACATCTACACACTATTCAAAAGAGACAGTAAAAACGAAAACGAAAGACCAGAACATCTTCTCACTAGCAGTCATCACCCAGATAAGCAGAGATTAACACCAAGATTATCACCAGACATACAATCAGCAGTCAACAATACCCTAATCAAGGAACTATCAGAGGGAAAAAATAAAACAAAACAAAACCCACCCCCCCACCCCCACCAACACTGGCAGGGCAGGCCACTGTATGTCAACAGAGGGCAAACCCCATTCCATTCTGGCACTGAAGATGTTACTTAGCCAGGTAACAAAACGTTTGCAAGAAAACAACCAAGCTCAGAGAACCCCAAGGACTCCATACTCTTTTAAAGATCCTTTCTTTAACTCTGTTTATTGAAGCCTCTGAATCCAGGGTATGTTCTTATGTGGGAGTAGTGGAAAGAACATGTTGTTGGAGATGCTGAGCATTTAAACCAATCAGAAGAAAACAAGTTAACTTTCAGTACTGATTTGGCTCTGTAATATCTTTGCTCCGTAGCTCACTAGAGGATACTGCTAGAAAGCAAAATCAACTTTTCTGGATTAGGAAAATATGCCACTTTGTAGGACATCAGGGAAAAGGAAAAAAAGAAATAAGAGAAGCAATAGAAAGGTCAGAGTATTATTTCCTTACTTAAGGCCACAGAAGGATTTGATAGTCCACCTTAAAAGGTCATTTTCTTGAAAGAAAGTTGTAGGAGAAAAGACTTCTGTTGTAGGACAGGCTGGATTCTCTGAAGGAGTCACTCTTTAATTTCTTATTTATTCTCTGGGATATATACTTTTAATATGAACATAGTTCCATCTGATGCTATTCTGCTGATTTCTGTTTTATTGTCTTTATAGCTTGCTGTTCTCAACTTTTCATGCACTACGGATATGACCCAGTTTCGGCCACTTCACGCGGATGATATCAGAAGAGCTTTTTTCTTTGTATCCTTTGACTTAGGAGAAAAGAGACGACTGAACTTCAGCTGTGGCACGGCGAAGATGATAAAAACAGTTGCTTTTAGGGAGTTGCTGCCCAAACGATTTGCTATTTTAAAGGTTATATTGGGATAGACTTATTTTGGGATTATGGTTGAATTACCACCACAAAGCAACCTGATAACAGTGGTATTTTGACCTTTGCTAAGCGTTATCAATCTACAGATTTGTCACTCAGAAAGTGTTGGCTACCAATTAACTTAGTATAGCTTCTTTAATACACTTCCAACGTAAGGGCACAAAATTTTATTTTCCATACGTTTAGGTTTTGTATTAATAAGAATTGATAAGAAAAATTCATCTCCATTGTTAATCGTCAATAAACATTCTTGGACATATAATATTTAGGCTAATACAGAGTTTTTGGGGCATAACGAACATAGAATATTGTAAGATCTTGCGATAACAAAATAGATTAACGAAATAGAATATCACAACACTGTTTTTACAGAATTTGGTTTCAAACAAAATTCAGGGTTTCTCATCTATGCTTGAAGTGTTTTACCCAAGTTTTGAATAAACTATATAACTGATAGGCACACAAGCTTGGTAAATTTACAGATTACAAAAGCTATTTAATTCACAAATCAATTTCTGTTATTTTATTTCTGAAGAAATATTACATTGTTAATATTGGCGTTTCCCTATAAATTTAGGTAAAGAATTTTGGTGGGGGCTAAAGAACTTTTATTTAGAAGATTATTCTGTAGTTCCTTTCTCTACACGTACAAATGAGCACATATTCAAAATTTCATACATTTTAAGATCAATAAAATATTGATCTTATGCAATTACTAATCAAAATTGTAAGATAAAATATGAAGTATACATGACAGGGAGCCAGTTTGGTGCAGTGGTTAAGGCACTGGGCTAGAAACTGGGAGGCCGTGAGTTCTAGTCCTCCCTTAGGCACAAAGCCAGTTGGGTGACCTTAGGCCAGTCACTCTCTTTCAGCCCTAGGAAGCAGGCAATGGCTTCTGAAAATCTTGCCAATAAAACTGCAGGGACTTGTCCAGGCAGTCACTAGGAGTCAACACTGACTTGAAGGTGCAAAAAAAAAAAAAAAAGTTAAAAAAACAAGCAACAAAAAAAGAAATAAAATAAAGCTACATATACATTATTCTAGATGTCTATATATTAAGCTTTCACGTAGTTAATAGCTTAGACCTTATTGCTCATGGAACAGCAAGCTGTTAAGTTTCCAAAAGATTTCATCTGGTCATCTGGTCCCAACCTCGCTGGTCTTGAAAACCTGGTTCTGAACATGACTTGTTCTCCTCTTCTGAACCTACCTGATGGTCCCTTGGACTTGCTTTTCCTGTTTGACATTGCAAGCTGATTGACTGGCATAGTCACTTGTTTAAGAAACTTTGCATAGTGCAGCTGCTGTTAATTCCATTGAACTTGCCTCAAATCATGTGGACCTAATACAGTGTTAGAATTTATAAACAAGTGAGCTGAAATTGGTACACCAGATTTGCCATGGAGTGTAATCTGAGTCATCCTGAGAGATGGGCTGGCGAGAATATTTTTTAAATTATCAGTAATTTAACATTGAGACAAATGTCTTTATTTAGATGGATAGGCAAGGATCTTCTCTTCTTACCTCCATGTACAGGAAATGTGAATTCTTCTTCCCTCCTCTTTCTTCTTGACACACATATAAACTAATGTCTCAATATCTATTTCATCGTAGGGAATTGAAGAATGTAATATGCATGCAAAGTTAAAAAGAGGACCAGCAGTGATTTGCAGTTTGTATATATATGTATATGGGTTGAGTACTTGTGGGAGAGCTGGCTGGCATGTTAATCTCACTAGTAGTTGCAATTCTGGGTGCTGTTCTCAGATCAATATTATGAGTTGTAATTCTGAGTAGATATTCAGAGAATTGCAGTGTATATACTTGTTAGTTCCTGGGGCAGCCAGGAGATATTTACCTTTGTAAAAAAAATATTGTAGTAAATAATTATGGTTTTGTTACCTTGTTGGCAATATCACATTTTCCTCAACTTGTTGCAGGTTTTCTTCATAGTGACAGCCTTTTTTGGCACTGGAAATATAGCTTCTATTAACAGGTAACTGATATAAGCTGATGTTGGTCAAGAGCAGCCATTGCAATGCCTCCATTCTGTTTCTACGCTATACAGTTTAAGCAAATGCCTTTATAATTGCATACAATATTGCATAGTCTGGAATGTTTTATATTTTACATTGTTTGTGTTAATCATGATGAGAGGAAAAGAATATGCAGGATCATAAATTTTCTCTGTCTTTAGGGAATTTCACCAGATATTCTCGTCTATTTATAAAGGGGAAGATATGGTAGCTGGTCTTCCTTTCACAGTAGGAAGGTGTGTTTAGGTGACAGATGGTAGAGCTTTCAATTAAAAGGTCCTAGTTTTTAATGCTAGGTTAGTGCTGGTAAGATATCTATTATCCAGGATTTAATCCTGGATGAAAGCACTGTCCTGGCATGTATTACTTTACAGAGGGTGGAGTGGAGAATCAACCTTTCACATCTTTGTTCACCAGGATACTCTGTGTTCCAGCAGTCTAGGGTAGAGGGTGGGAAAGTGGTGTGAGCGTGTGCTGTAGGAACTCCATCTCACTAATCTGAAGCTCTATCTGACAGTTTTAGGTATTTTCTGCTATGTTTTCTGCTGTGTTTAAATACCCAGGACAGAGTAGTGTACTATGTAACAGTCTCTGTTCCTGAGCTAGCTGGGGTGATCTCTGGTGTTGTACTGAATTACCCTAGATTTCTTCTCTTGCTGAGTTTCAGTGTAGGTTGCCCAATCAGGAATGACTCAGGATCTCAACATCTATCATAATGACTGTGGACATTTCCCAAATGAGAATTTGCACCTGGCCCCATGCGTTCAGCACAGCACATGCTAAATTTGGTATTCTGTTCAGCTGGTGCTATTTAGCTGAAAGTGGAGTTTCTAAATACATTGTCACGGACAGAAAACTCTGGTATGTTTTCGACTGGCAGCTGCAATAAACCTCTTTGGGGTGGTGGACTGGTTAAAATGACTCGAGCCTAGCATCTTATGGATCCAGGTGGTTTTCTGAATGGGGACTTTCCCCCTCAGCTTACAGTGATTCTGTCAGAGCCTTGGCTGATCTGTGGAATATGGAGATGGCCCAGGCAGCTAACACTGCTGTTCCTAAGCACATTCTTCTCTCTAGCACAGCTTAGTCAACAGTTCGGTTTTCCCTTTTGCCTAACAAATAGAAGCACAAAACAGTGCATCTGTATGCCCATCACATTTAAATGATCTTTGTGCAGCATTGTAATCACCCCATATGTAAAATACAGTGGTACCTCGGGTTACGAACTTAATCCGTTCCGTGACTCTGGTCGCAACCCG